GTGTAAGGCCAGTGCGTCTGTCCGGCCTGTGATCACCCTTTGGGTGAGGTGTTGGCACAGGGTTGCCCCCTTTATTAAGGGCGGTTCTGAGGTTGTGTTGGGTCATGGGTCTCCGGCCACCTCCCTACAGCCCCAGTCCCTGACCTCTTCCCACAGCTCAGACATAGGCAGCTCTGGGGCTGTTGCTGCCATGTGAGGAGCTGGAGCACGCCACCGTGTCTTCTGTGGGGTCACAGCATCCTGGGGGCACAACTCGGACTCGCCAGAACACCCAGGGGATGGGCAGTGTCAACTGAGATCACACAGGCCGAACTTTTGCGGGTCTGTTTGCTTCTAGCGCTTTTCCGTCAGGTGTGGGGTGCATGTGCTCAGGTGGAGTGTGAGGACCCGGAGGAAGGCTGCCTGTCACACCACGCTGACAAGTCTCCCCAACCTCTGCTTCCCGCAGTGGGGCCAGCACAGGTCACGCCAGGTCCCTGCAGGCACCGGCTGCTCCTGCCAGCTGTGCGGTCACAGGTCCTAGTTGAATATCTTGGTGATTCTGTCCCCACCTACAACCAAGAGGAACACTGCCTGAGCTCACAAGTGAAATATTCCGCGGGGAAAGAGAGCAAAAAATCACAAGGAAGAGAACTTCGGGACCAGCCTGGAACAAATTTTAAAAGCTGCCAAGAAGAACAAGTCTCTGGAGTAACAAAATCACAGGAGAAGCCAGACCGCAGAGATCAGGCTCTGCCTGCAGCTCCTCCTCGGGCCAACAGGGGGCCCTGCCTTCCACCACCATCACCACCTCTGTGGGCCTCCAAATGAGGTCTCAGGTGTGCTGAGTAATTACCGGAGGGAGTGAGCCATGAGAGCCACTGGGGCAGAAACAGAGCAGGGCTGACTGTTCCCTGGGATGGTCCCCACAGACCCCATGACTCCAGCAGCTGCTTTGTTCCCGACATCCAGCCTGCGTCCACTTGGGGCAGGCCCTGTCTGCCCTCGCTCGGCACAGGGTCAGGGCTAACCTGGCACCAGGTGCCCCAGGGTGTCTGCCTGAGACACCTCACCTGTGGCTGGGCACCAGGCTGGCAAGTACCCTGCCCCACCACCGGCTGGGGTGGTGAATGAGGCCCAGCCTAAACGAGACAATGAGAAGCTGTCTGCATTTTCCTGAATTTACATCTGTTTTTATCGAGCTCCTGTGTCTTTATCATTTAAAAGATTTAATTTACTGAGTAAAAAGGAGAATTTGCCAGGATGTGGTGGCACACACCTGTAATCCCAGCACTCAGAGGCTGAGGCAGGGGGATTGCCATGAAGTTGAGGCCAGCCTGGGCTACATAACACAGTAAGTTCAAGTCCAGCCTGAATTTCATAGTGATGTCGTGTCTCAAAGAAACGAAAAAGAAAGGAGATCTTGTGGGTTTGGATCAAGGTGACAGACTTGGAACTGACCAGGACCTGAAGTGACCTTGCTGTGTGACCATGCACAAAGGCAGAGCCTCTCTGAGCAGGTGTGTTGATGTGAGGTGGGGGAGCACTGTGCCCTGCCTGCACCTGGCTCCCAGGTAAATGCTGGCCAGGTGGGCGGCAGGGCAGGGCCTGTATGAGGACAGCGCTCCTCTCCTTCCCCAGGACCCAGAGCTTGGCTCACGCTTTTTCTTTCTCCTCCACCTCCTTTTTTTTTCCCCCTCTCAGTAAGTAGGGATTGAACCCAAACCAGGGCCTTAGCACTGAGCTACATCCATAGTCCTTCTTAATTTCCATAAGTTGCCCGGGCTGGGCTTGAACTTGCCATCCTCCTGCCTCAGCCTCCCAGAGTGCTAGAATCATTAATGAATACCCTGGGCTGTATTGCTTGATAAGTGCTCAGAGCTGTTCTGAAACCTGAGCAGATAGCAGGCTGATGCTGGATCACATCACCTGTCTATCTGCAGCCCGACTACCATGTAGCATCAGCCCCTGGGTCCTCCAGTCTAAACAGCTGCAACGAATTATCTGCACCGGGTAGCTTAAACAGCAGGCCTTTATTTCTCACATTCTTGGTGGTTTATTTTGGTTTTGGTTTTCATTTTTTTGGTGCTGGGGATCGAACTCGGGCCCTTGCGCTTGCAAGGCAGGCAGCAGAACCACTGACCAAATCCTTGGCTTTCTCAAATTCTTGAGAGGACAGACTTGGTTCCTTTGGACCCCCTTGGTGTGTAGCACCTCTCCTCTCCGAGTCTTCCCAGTGTCCTCTATGTGTGTCTGTGACCTCGTCTCTTAGTAACCTCTGTAAATACGTGCACACCTTTCTAGTTCCAGCTCTCAGGAGGATGAGGCCAGAGGATCACAGGTTCAAGCCTGGGCTACAACAATGAGGCTGTTTTGAAAAGATACAATCACGTGCTGAAAGTGGGGGTGGGACACAATTCAGCCTGTCCCCCCCAGCAGCAGTGAGTACCAAGGACCTGTCTGCACCTTCACTAAGGGCCAGGGCCGAGGTTTGGCTTGCCAGGCTTGCGAGCCTTGTGTGGCTGTACCTTTCCACAGCTCGGTGTCTTGCCATTTCAAACCATTGTCCCTTGTGTGGCTGGAGGTTTTGTACTCTTGTCCTCAAGGGTAGCACAGTGGAACCTGCATGGTCTGCACCCCCCGGGTGTGCGTGAACCTCTGCTGGTCACCAGGCAGAGGAGCCACCCAGGCTGCTGGAGGGCTCGCTGACCAGAGGACAGCTGGGGTCGGGGCTCAGGCTGCAGCACGTGCCCATGGCAGCGGAAGTGTGAGGCCTTCGGGCTTGCAAGAGCTCCCAGGACAGACGTGGACAGCTGCTCGCATGTGCAGCCCCAGTGCCAGAGGATGTGACAGGAGCCTCCAGAGCAGACAGTATTGCAGGTGGCCAGCACCAGAACTAGCTGGACCTCTTCCCTACTCCTGGAGTCCCTCTGCACTCAGGCCACACTGCCTGGAAGAACAGTTGCTTGTGCAAGTTGTCTCCAGTTCCACCTTGGCCTTGCCTCCTGGGACTTGCTGGTTCACTGCAGCGGCAGGAGCTTTCCTTTCTGAGTCCCCAGAAGGGTCCTTGCGTCTCCCTCTGATGCACCTGTGGCTGGTATTCCTGACCCTTTGGTGCACAGTAAGACACAGGTGTACCAGGTATTGTGTTCAGCACTGAGCAGGTGCTTAATGGGATTGAGTCGCCTCGAATACAGTCACCATCCACAGTACTGGCACCACCTGTGGGCCTTCGCTGTCCCCCATTATGCTGTGGGTGGTTTTCCTGTTACCACAATGTTGCACGTGTTGTCTTTGACTTTACAAGCTATGCTTTTGGAATCCTTTGTGGGTCTAAGCACAAACATCTATAGCCCCTGGCACAAGCAGAGAGCAAAGCTGACTGCTTCTGAGACAGGAAAGAAAACCCAGCTTGGTCCTACAGGGCAGCTGGATGCTGTGCCCTGTGGGAAGTTCCTTCTGTAGCTGTTCATCCATGCAACAAATGTATGGCCCAGCTCTTTGCTGTGGAAAATGCCTGGGAAATTCCCAAACCTAGGTAGAAGGGGAGTGGCTTGTGTCTCTTGTAGGTTTCTCTTGGGGAGGTCTTGGCCCCTCGCCTGGGCTGAGCTTGGCACCCCTGTGGTTTGAGGCCTTCCTTGGACCAGCAGTGCACTCCTGGGAATCTCCCCGCAGAGCTGTCCAGTGAGAGTGCGTGTGCTGCTCTAACATCCCAGGCCCAGGCTCCCCCAGGGACTGTGATCAGGTGACCATTGGGGCTCCCACCCACAAGGCGGGTCAGGCTCTGCTTCCACCAGGGCCTGAATGTGTCTGACACAGAAGCTGTGGGATGCTGAGTGAGAGGGAGGCTGGCATACAGCCGAGTGTGGCCTGGGTGCTACGGTGCATGCCACGGTCCTGAGGTGACCAGACAGTGTTTAAGTGCTTGCTTCTCTGATAATGGCAGAATAAACTGTGCAGCAGATGCTGGGCCCTGCACCTTGGAGCCCCATGCCCCGCTTGGTGCAGCTTGGTCGGGACTCCTCCATCTCTGTCCTTCCGGTGGGGCCTGGCTCGGACCACCCAGTGGGCAGAAGGATTGGGTAACTTGTTAGTCTCAGAGCCAGCAGTGCCTCCTGCCTTCCGTGGTGATCTTGACCTTGGTGCCCCTGGCCTCCGGGTGCCATCCTCACAGCTTTGCCATTGGCATGGCTTGTGGGAAGATAGGTGTGCACCCTGTGAGGGCCAGGAGGTCAGGGAACAGCCACGGCAGTGCCCCTGGGACTAATAACCCAAGTTCATCATCCAGCGCAAAGGTGTAGCTGTATGGGTTCTGAGTCCTAGGCTTGGGACGGCTGTCGCCAGCACACAGCACATGGCCCCCTGGAGCCTGCCTCGTATGACACTTGAACTCTGCCTCCTGCTCCCTGACCTCACAGGTGCAGGTACTGAGGACCCAGCACTGAGCACACAGCACCCCATCCTGTGGAGGCCAAAGCCATAGGGGAGGCATACAAGAAGGACCCCTACCAGTAGTGACAGCACTGCCAGCAGGTCACACGGTCACAGGATAGCAGGGCTTCACTGAGAGACAGCACATGAATACCAAGCCAGAGTCCAGAAGGAGCTGGCCTCGGCAGAGCTGGAAAAGAATGCTCCAGACTAGGAACAGCCCTGCACGGGTACTGAGTGGGGAGTAGTGGCCTGCTGCACGGGGGCGCTGGTGTGTTCATTGCCCTGGGCTGGCTGTGGCCCCCAAGGGCCTGCCCTACTGCAGAGGGCATAGTCATGCCCACCACAGTAGGCCCCTGTGGAAGAGCCCTGGAGATCCAGCTATGCACCAAGTGCCCTCAGGCATCCGGGAAGGTTGGTATGATTTGTTCTAAGGAGGTCACCTGGCAGGACTGCAGTCCCCAGCCAGGGGCACGGAGAGTGCTGTCTTCTCACCACAAAGCCCTGAGCCCCAGAGCTGAGCGTCTGCACAGTAGGGTACTGGAGCGAGCTGCCAGTGGTTCCTGAGTGGGCCGTGCCGTCTGTGCTGAAGACTCTGTCTTCCTTACAGGCGGCGAGTCGCGTCCCAGCGCTGCTCTCTCGAGTTCCTGGAAGACACGATGGCCTGCACCTCAGTACAGAGGTACGCACCCCACTGCCCCAACCCTAGGGCAGCCACTGACCCCGAGAAGCCCCAGAAGGGCAGGCATGACCTGCTTTTTCACCTTGCAGAGCCAAACATGTGTCCGGGTCGCCTAGACACAAAGGTCTGAAGAAGACCCACTTCATCAAGAACATGAGGCAGTATGACACGAGGAACAGCAGGTACGGCGCCTCAGCGCCAGGGACCCCAGGGTCTGGGCCGTGGTCCCGGAGCCCGCTTCATGGGCTCCGGATGTTTAGGGGTGCCTCACCTCCCTCTACTACCTGACCAGAGGCTCCCTGGCATGGCCTGCAAGCCACTCACTGCGAAGTCCAGGGAAGAGCCACAGCTGGACACGCCTGTGGGGCAAGAATGAAAGGGAAGTTGGAAACAGGCAGGCGCAGCCGGAGATGCACCAATGGAGGAGGTGCGGTCACGTTTGGGAGCACACAGGAGGCTGAGCCAGACCTAGTACCCAGCTGCCCACAGCACTGGGCTGGGCCCCAGGAGGCTGCGCGTGGCTAAGCGTGGCTGACCCTCCCTCCATAATGCCAGTTGCTGTGACACAGAGGCCCAGAGCGAGGTCGCCCTGCCAGGGCTGCATCTAGGCTTGGAAGGACACTTCCTCTCCAGCCACTCTGGGCCTCCTCGGGTCGATGGGAAATGCCCGTCACTCTGGAACAGCACTGCCCACCCCACCCGCCTCTTACAGGATCGTGCTCATCTGTGCCAAGCGGTCCCTGTGCGCAGCCTTCTCGGTCCTGCCGTATGGAGAAGGCCTGCGGATCAGGTGAGTGTTCCCAGCATGAAGATGTTTCCCACCCACCAAGTGCAGGCGGGGCCTGTGGGCTCTCAGGGACTTGCAGGGCCAGCGTGTCAGCTGCCCCCAGAGCTCAGGAGACCCAGACGTTTCCTGTCCTTGTTCTCCAGGGGACTGTGGTTTGTGTCCAACCTTCTGTATTTAGGCTGCCTGGGATGTTCCTGTCCATCTTAGAGACACAGTTTTGCTTCCTTGTGACCAGGCCAGGCAGTTGTGTCCTGAGCACAATTTGGGAAAGAAGGAGATGGCTGTGGGGCGGGACAGCATTGTGTGTGACCCTGGCATATGTAAAACAGCAACAGAAACCTCCTGCCTGGGTAAGCGACCAGTTCTCAAGGTCCAAGCTCAGCTGCTGAGAGGTGTGACTGCAGGTGAAGGGTTTTACGAACCCAGAAGGCAAGCTTGGGCAAGTGAAGGTAAGTGCCAGTGACATCAGGTGCTGCCAGCCCCCAGGGGTGTGAACAGGCAGCAGTGAGGAGAAAGGTGGCCTTACAAGAGAAGCGTGCCCTGCCCACACCTGTGAGTCATTCCCGTGTGAGGGGCTACGCAGATGGATGGTGGGCTGGGCTGCTGGAGCTGGACTCAGCATGGGCACAATGGCCACTGCCCCCTTCTCCTCTGCATTGCAGTGACCTAAGGGTGGACAGCCAGAAGCAGAGGCATCCGTCCGGTGGCATGTCTGTTTCTTCTGAGATGGTCTTTGAGTTGGAAGGCGTTGAACTGGGAGCAGATGGAAAGGCAAGAGCCCCATGGACATTTGGTGGCCAGCACGGTCGGGGCCGGAAGGGCAGGAACATGGGAAGGCACCTTTCTCCTTAATCTGAAAAATGGGTCAGCAGCTGCCCTTGCTCCAGCCCTGAGAAATCCCCCGAGTGTGAGTGACACGGCAGAGGTGTGTGTGGCATCACCTTGCTGCAGCCTGAGCTCTTCACACTAGCCCCACCTCTGGGCTGGAAGGCTGAGGCCCAGGGTCCTCAGGGCGGGGAAAGTGTCCCACTGCTACAGGCCCAGATGAGTGGGAAGCTGTGCTCCAGAACACCGTGATGCCTGAAACACCAGCCCCAAGGGAGCGCGTGGCGTGGAGCTCACAGCTCCTCTGGGCTCTGGCTTGTGCTGCTCTCGGGAGGGTAGAAGTCTGCACCTGGCCTTCATGCAGTGCAGTGTAGGGAAGCAGGCTGAGCCCTACCATGATTACCTTTCCAGGTTGTCTCCTATGCAAAGTTCCTGTACCCTACCAATGCCTTGGTTGCACATAAGAGTGACAGCCATGGCCTGCTGCCCCAGCCTCGGCCCAGCATCCCCCGGGCTCTGCCAGGGTCGAGACACAAATCTGCCACCACCAAGGCAACACCAGCTACCACAGAACTAGGTAGGCACCCACCTTCCGCATGGCATGGACCTGGGTGACATACAGGCCTTCACTGTGGCACAGGCTGTGCAGTACCAATAAGCCACATTCACACCCAAAGCCCTCACTGCAGAGCCTGCCTCAGGAGCAAGGTCAGTGGCAGCCTCTCTAGAGAAACAGCTGCAGTTAGCACAGCCAGGCGGCGAAGACCCCGCCCTGGGCTGCTCCAGAGGGGTCCTGCTCTCTGCTGCACCCACAGGTCCTGGGGCAGAGAGTAGCCATAGCCCCAGTGCCTTCCCCAGACTTAAGCAGTTTTGCTGGTTCTGATGGAAGTTGTAGTGGGTCAGGAGCCGCCTCTCCTTTCAGGGAGCGATGGGGGAGACACCCTGGAGTACAACCCCAACCTCCTGGACGACCCCCAGTGGCCCTGTGGAAAGCACAAGCGTGTCCTCATCTTTGCCTCGTATATGGTAAGGGCCTACTACCACAGTATGCAGGCCTCACACCTTGCCCTGCCATGGAACCGCCTGGGGCAGGCTGTGAGCAGCCTTCCCCAGCATGCAGAACCCCAGCACAGCCAGCCCAGAGGGTACCTTGCCCCAGAGCAGGCAGTGTGTAAGGCCAGCCAGAAGCCATACGCCCCTGGGTCATCCTGGGTGCCTGGCTGGGCCTCCTGCTGAGGACAGACGGGCTCTAAGCCATTTTGCCCTCAGGCCCAGGTGCCTCCCTGGAAACCCTACATGCTCACTTGTGCAAGTCCAGGTCAAGCAGAACCCTCCCTCAAGGTGGGGGGGCCACCCCTACCCTCTCCATCTCTGTGGCAGACCACAGTGATAGAGTACGTGAAGCCCTCGGACCTCAAGAAGGACATGAACGAGACCTTCAGAGAAAAGTTTCCATACATCAAACTGACATTGAGCAAAATCAGGAGGTAAGGGTGGGGAGGGGAGGAGGGGGTGAAGGGAGGGTGGGGACAAGGGGAAAAAATGAGAACCAAGACCTGGCATGTAAAGGTACAAGATCCCAGTAATGAATGTAACTGTACTGTCTACCTAGAATGTACCAATAATTTCAATTTAAATTAAAAAAAAATCAGGAGGTAAGGAAGAGCCAGGCGATGCCCTAGCCTCGCCTCCTCCCTCAATTGTGTGCCCGGTGCTGGGCTATCCCCGTGAAGGCTGTGGCACCTTTTCTGATGCCTGGCATGGGACAAGCCATGGGTGGGTGGCCATGGCCTCTGCCCCACGGACCCCGCCTCCATCTCACACCCCACCTGCAGTTTGAAGCGGGAGATGCGGAACCTGTCTGAGGAGTGCAGCCTGGAGCCCGTGACCGTGTCCATGGCCTACGTGTACTTCGAGAAGCTCGTGCTACAGGGCAAGCTCAACAAACAGAACCGCAAGCTGTGCGCTGGCGCCTGCGTGCTACTCGCTGCCAAGATCAGCAGCGACCTCCGCAAGAACGAAGTGAAGCAGCTCATCGATGTGAGTGTGGGGTCCCCACTGCAGCTGTGCCTGCAGCTGAGGAACAGGGAGGGCTGTCACCTGCTTGACTGTGGGGCAGCCTGTGCCCAAAGCTGCTGCCAACCCAGGCAAGGGTTGGGCCTGTTTAACCTTTCTCTCCTCCAATGCAGAAGCTGGAAGAAAGATTCCGATTCAACAGGCGAGATCTCATTGGGTTTGAGTTCACAGTGCTCGTGGCTTTGGAACTGGCCTTGTATCTTCCGGAGAACCAAGTGTTACCTCACTACAGACGCCTCACCCAGCAGTTCTAGCCAGGCCACAGCCTCGAAGGAAGCTACTCAGCAGGGAGGTATGTTCCTCGGCCAGGGCCTCCAGCACCTGTGTGTCCACCCACCCCGCCTGCTGCCCTCCTCTACGTCTGAGCTTCCTAGCCAGTGCACCTCATTTCTTTACCGTTTCTCCTTGGAAAGAGACATTGCTTATGTCCAAAGTGCACCAGACCCTCTAAGGGTATCTCAGAATTTTCCTGGAGCTTTACATGAGCAGTGCGGGGTCTGCTTGGTTTCTCACATGCCTGTGGCCAGCCTGGCACCAGGACCTTTGGTTTTCATGTGTGATGGTGAATCCTGAGTTCTGGCCATCTTCCTCCCTTCGCCTTACCTTTGCAAACCACCAGCTGCAGCCCTAGCATCACAGATCTGAGTGTCCAGATCAGAAGCATGCCGAGATTGCCAGGTTTGACTTCTCAAGTATCCATCTTGGATATTCATTTTTCTGGATGTGGCAGAGTGGCCCCATAGCCCCAGCCGTGTCTCCCAGCATCTACACCTGCTGGCTCCATATTCACCTGAGCCTCCCCCATCAGCACTGGCTTTGGTGTTAGTTTAAGCCACCAAGATCAAACTCCTTGTCTGTTCTGATCTTTCTTTAACTCTTGGACCTGTTTTTAAGTATCGCATCACTGTGAAATCCCACGATGCTGTGTCCATGCCCCACAAGGCTTAGCAGACACCAGCCCAGCCTTGGCCAGGCCCCACCCTCTTGCTTCTGATCAGGAAAACCCACTCACCCACAACACTGGAACTTCAGGACAACTGCTGACTCTTGGCTTTTGACTTTCCTAAGCAATAATGTGGCCAAGAAATGTATTTTGACTTGGGATTTGGCTCTGAGGTTTCCCAGTGTGCCTAAGACATCCAGGTACGGATGTAGACTAGAAGCCAAGCTGGGATGATGGTTGGTTTGGCCCTGGCTGACAGAGCACCAGCTCTCCATTCACCAGATCAGGGACAGTGGGTCTTACACAAACTGGTCCAGGGAGCCCCATGGAAGGCTTGACCTGACACCACATGAAGGCACCGACCAGTATGTGATCCACAGAATCCGCAGTCAGTGCCTTTTCCCCATCAGGAAGTAGATTCTGTCTTGGCCAGTTCAGTCAGCATGGTGGACCACGCCACATAGCCACCATTGTCCCTTCTCTGCAAGACTGGCCACGGGGAACCTGGGCCATCTGCTTTTCCAAGTTTGTCCAATATTTTTGCAGTGGACCACATGGCTATTTGCTGCCCCATCAAAAACACTGAGGAACCAAGGAATTCTGCTTTTCCTCAGGGGCCAGCTAATCTCAAAAACAGCCATTCTGCTGACATCCTGCAGATCTGCCTGTCACTGGCAGAGCTAAAGGGAAATGCTAACCTGCTTGAGGGACTCAGTACTTGCCTGCCTTCTCCCTGCACTCACCCAGGCCCTGAGCAGCAATAAGCCAGAGCACACAAAGGGAAGACTGCAGGACAGGGAGGAATCAGTCCTCATTGGTTTCTCAAGCTATCAAGTCTCCCATTCAGCATGCCAAGGAGTTTCTTCTGTGCACCCAAGGCTATACCCCAACACTGGGCCTAAAGCCAGGCAACCATTCCCTTGACTGTCTGCCACCAAATGTTATCTTCTGGGCATTCCACCTGTGAACCCTGGAAGGGGCTGACTCTACACACTGCTCTGGTTTACAACCTACTCTCTGGGGCACATCCCCTTAGGGCTTCCATTGATGTTAGTGTGGAGAAAATGGCTGATGAACACAGTAACAACTTAAAGTTATTTATGTGGAGAGATTTAGTCAGTTATCATACTGGTCCATTTGAAGTTCTTCAGTATGTCCTTTTCACAACGCCAAGAACTGCCACTGTGTGGTATCTTTGAGAGCTGCTACAACAAAGCCAACACACCAAATGACAGCCTGAACCTGTCATCCTCTAGATAGACCAAGTCCAGAAGTCTGAGCTATGCCCAAGATATTCAGCTGGGCTGTGACCAAACAAAACCAGACCTGGTGCAACTTCCTCAGCACCCAGCAGTTGTGAACATACGTGTGCATAAATGAGTGTCTGACCTCAGAATGTTCAAGTTACTTGTCATGGGTAATGTATTTGTCTGTTGAAGTAAAGCTGTTTTGCAACATGCTCCATAGTTTTCTTTGAACTAACCAGATACGCTGCCCCACTCTAGTCACCCACTCCAAGTCAAAAGCTAGCCCTGTTCCCAAGCCCACAGGGAGAGAATGAACCAACACAGGTGTTTTATGACTGTTTATTTATGAGCCGTGTTGCACATCCACAACTCTCTCCACTCAGAAGTTCCTGCAATAAGGGAAGAAAAGCAATGTTACAATCATGTCTCTGGGATGATCCTTGACCACTTTACCCAAGTGTGAAAATGGCCTCTTACTTAGAGACGATGCCATCAGCCTTGGCCAATCGTAGAATAGAGTCATCTGATTCACCCTGGAAAAAATTCTCTCTCAGAATATTTCCACCATGGCTACTTGGGCTGGCAGGAAGTCCTGCATGCACCATCAAACTGGTGTTTCTACCCAGAAGAAGGGACAAACAGCAGACAAGCACTGCCAGTGAGCAGACACTAGCAAGCTCCTAGTTAAAGGCAGGGCCGACCTGGGCCCAAGTACCCACTTTCTACCCCAGGAAAAAGCACCCAATAAACTTACTGTTGCCTACAATTTATTCTGACCTAAAGAATAAACACCATTACGTGCTCAAATGCCCAGGTCCAAACCCACAGCAACCGAAAGCTGGAGGAAAGGAGTCCACGCATTAAGCAAAGCGTAGGTAAACACTCACCATCCTGCGAATGGCCCCGCAGATGGCATAGGTTTTAAACTGGCCGTTAAACCTACCGGTGACCTTATCAACCTATGAAAGAAAAACGGAACGGCCACTAATCGGTCCTAATCGGGAGTTTGAGAAAGAAAGTACAAAACCAGTCCGAGACCCTTCCCGTGGGGACAGGTTCCCGTCTCACCTCGGCCACGTTCATCTGGATGGACGCGTGGTCCTTGGCACCAATAATGCGGTTGCTGGCGGAGCTGCGGTAAGAAAGCGCAGTGAGCGGGGAGGAGCTGCGGAGGGCCGGCCCGGGGACGAGGGGAGCACCGGACAACCGACAAGAAAGGGCCGCGGACGCAGCAAGCGGGGCGGACACTCACCATTTCCGCGGCACGTACAGGTCCACGAACTCGCCCGCGTCGTTCTGCATATCGAGGCCCGGCCTAGGGAGGCAGCGCACGGCGCCACGAGCTCAGACCCGTCCGCGCCCCGCACTTTGGGAGCCCCGCCCGGGCACATCTCTCACTTCTAAAACCCTGCCGGGTCGGCCCTCGCCTAACCAGCCCCGCGAACCCTACCTGCTGCCTCCTCGACGAGCGCCGGCAAAGAGAGGAAGTGGCGCGTTCCTCGAGGGCGCTATTGCGGACGAGGGCGGGGCCTCCACGAGCACTTCCGGGTCACGCAGCCGCGTGAGCCTGCGCGGTACGTCCCTGCCGGCCGGTGTCGACCGGACACATTCGCTTCCGGCGCAGAGAGGCTACGCCCCGCCCAGTCCTGCGCGTGCGCAGCGGTTCTGAGAGGAAGCGGACACCTGCGGCCGTCTTCCTCCGGCCAGCCGCTGTCTCAGCTTCCTGGTGCGGGGCAGAGACACCTTGCTGTGGCCTCGGAGAGATGTTGGTCTCTCTGGAGGACGGTAACGGCGAAGGAAGGCGCCCAGCCCGCCAGAAAGGCCGCGCAGGGCGTAAGAAACCGGCGCGACCCGGCGGCCCTCTCGCGGGTGTGGGGGTTTTGGGGGCACCCGCCGCTCGCCGCTGGAAACCCCTTCCAGAGGGCGCTGGAGGTGACGCGATGAGCCGGTTCCTGATGACAGCAGGGCGAAGACAGCCGGTGGGTCCTGGAAGGCCTGGGTCGCAGCCTGAACTCTTGTTACCGCAGGAGCCCGCCAGCGAGGGAGCAGGGGGCCTCGGTCGGGTCTCCTCCGGGTGGACGATGGAGCCCTAGGATTGGAAACCCACCCCTGGGGAGACGGGACCTGAGCGCGGAAAGAGCGTGGCCCAGCCTAGTGCCAAACCCCGTAGCCTTGCCCTGCACAGTCTGACACCACCCCATCCCCCAGCAGTACTGAGAAGTGCTTATGCTAGTCTATTCCTGGTGAAAATAGAGCACTCCAAGACCGGAGGTAACACCCCAGGCTCACCGCTACCCCAAATTCATGGGAGTGTCAGCAGATCCCGTGGGGAAAGCGCAAGACAGCCGCGTCCTGCTTTCCTGGGGGGGTCTGCCCCTCGGGTTCCATCCGGGTCCCTTCTCTGACCCAAGCATAGCTCAGATGATGCTATCAGAGCCCTCCCAGAACCACGTCTTTCTCTTCATATGCCAGTCTGCTTAGCATTAAGCCCTAACAGTTAACTGTGTGTGGAGGTCGTCTCCTCGGGGACTGGAGCTGCGCACCGTGTAGCACTGCACACAGCAGGCTCACAGGGCACGGTGCTGAATGAATGCACCAGGAGCCCTCGGCACAGCACAGTCTGAGGGAGAGGGTTTAACATCTGGGGCAGTGGGAACTGAGGCTGCAAATTGCCTGCTCCTGCCTGCAAACCAGGTGTGACGTGGCCAGTGTGTATGCTGGGCCATGCATCAGAGGTGAGGTCATCAAGGCTACTGTCCTCTGTGAAGGTTGCTGAGGCAGTTCTTTCCAGAAACTCCAGAGTGTGTATAGAGGGGACATCTGCAGCTGGCCTGGCCATGTCTGTGTGGGGTGGCCCCACAAAGATGGGGTCAATATTCTCTTCGTCTGGACAGCCAGAGATGGAGAATCTGGAAACTCAGAGGTCTGTGAGGGTTTCCCTGAACACTCACCCCTTGTCTGTACCATTCCTCAGGTTGGGGAAAGATCCTTGTAAATGCTCCAGGGACAGGATGGAGTGCACCTGCTGGACTGGAACAGCACTGGTTCCCAGCAGCCAGGCTTGCAAAGGTCAGTTCACAAGGCACTGGGTAAAGTACTCAGATCCTGGCTCAGTAATGGGTAATAACTATGCATGCTCTAGTGCTGCCTTGGCCCTACTTAACAGATCATAAAAGTAGTAGCTGGAAGGATCAAACCGATTGTGAGTAATGACACATCCCCGAAGAACTGCTTAAGATGTTTGAGGAATACAGTCAACATTAAGCACCCACAAGGTGACGTTCACATAGTCTGCCATCCAGTAAAGTACAACCAGGCACACCGTGAAGCAGAAAAATAAGGCTGTTAACGAGAGGAAAAATCAGCCCATGGAAATGGATCCAGAAGCGACACAGATGTTGGAAGTAGCACACAAGGGCATTATGAGGGTTTTATGTAACCCATCTATTCAAAAAGTTCAATAGAGAAGTGGAAAACACACAAAAGAATCCTAATTAAATTATTAGATAATACGTTTCATCAGCTGCCACTGAGGTGATTGGTCCTTCAAAAGAAGACCAGGTGTGATGGCACATGTCTGTGATCCCAGCACTTGGGAGGCTAAGGCAGGAGAATCTCAAGTTCAAGACCAGTCTGGAGTACATAGTGAGACCATGTCTCAAAATAAAATAAAATAGAGGCAGGCACATATGGAGAGAAATGATAGCTGAAAATTTTCTAGATTTCATGAAAGCTAAACTCACAATTTCCACCATACAGAAGTGATACATTTTTGAGGGGATGGGTCTGTTTACCCTGATTTAAAAAGTAATGTAAGGCTGGGGATTTAGCTCAGTGGCATTGCACCTGCCTTGCAGGCACAAGGTTCTAGGTTTGATCCCCAGTACCCCCACCAAAAAATGTGTATGTGTATCACAATATCTTATGGTATCCCCTAAATACAATATATATATCTATTTTTTAAAAAACTTACAGGAGGCAGGAGGGCTACACATTCAAGCTTGCATAAGAGTGAGACCCTGTCTCAAAAAAATTAAAAATGGCTGCAGGTGTATCTCAGTGTGAAAGACCCTTGATGATACAACTTTCTCACTGGAAACAAAACAAGTGAGAAGACTGGTAGAGCATCCTGAAAGCGCTTAAAGGAAAGAATCTGTCAGGCCAGGGATATAGATCAGTGGTTCCGCTGCCTGCCTTGCAAGCCCTGAGTTCGATACCCAGTACAAAAAAAAAAAAAAAA